ACCCGCTTTACTCTCAGGGTCTGGGCGGAGCCCAGCGCGGTGCCGGGGCCCCGGGCGGGCCCGCGCGGAGGACCCACGCTGTCCAAGTGACAAAGGCGCCGCCCGCCTTCCACGCCCCCCGGCCTCTGTGGGACCCCAAAGGCTCTCTGGGAAACTAGGTTAACGGTGTTCTGCTCGCTCGCCTCGCCCTGCCCGGCCCTTCCCACGCTCCCGGTGCAGCGGCGAGGGCACCTGCTCCCTGGAAGGGGTGCTGCCCCGCCCTCCCTCACTGCCCCCGCCCCCACACTCTCACACCAGCCCGGGGCCTGGGGATCCCCTGGAGCGGCCTGATCAGGCCACGCGTCGTTTGACCACAGCCTGCCTTTTGGAAACACAGTGACACGAATGCGAACTGAACCCGAAAACAGCCCTGTGCGCCCCTGAGTGCCCTGCAGTTAACGGGGTGGAGAGGAACGCCTTGCGCCTGCGGTGCCGCGGGTGCTGTGAGGTCCTGGACCGGCTTCCATCCCTGGCTTCCATTTTTACGGATTGTTCCCCTGCATGGGTAGAAGGGAACGGGATGAATTTTACCATAGCGTTACTCAGTTGTCTGCATTGCTTCGGAATTATGGGCCAAAAGTATAAGGCAAGGGAAAATGCCATGTTCCATGGCGGTTTATGGTGCCTTGTTATAAAGGAGGTTTCCCCAACATCAGTAACGCAAATTGTCGGATTGTTTGACCCGGTGAGGTTTGTGCGATGGTAGGAACGTAGGACAGGTGAGACGTATGACTTCCTTCTGTAAACTGAGGAATGGTAACGACATGGCAGCGTTAGCCGCAGATCAATTGTGAAAAGGTAATACCTTCACGTTGAGGATACGGAAATTAATTTTCTTAAAACTATCCGTGCCAGAGCACCTCTTGGAAATTTTTCTTGCATCCCCGGGGGTACATAGGTCCCCTTTTGAATACCTCTGATGCCATTCCCTTTATAATGTAAGAATCTCATGCAATTGAATGTGATGAGTTAAAAGACATATTTTTAGAAACAGGGTTCCTAAAGGCAAGCATACTACTTTATCTGGTATTCAATTCAAAAAGTAAAAAGGCGATTTATTTTTTACACTAAAGATAAGCTGTATTACATTTTTTAAAAATATATTTCTATTGATTTCAGAGAGGAAGGAAGAGGGAGAGAGAGATAGAAACATCAATGATGAGAGAGAATCATTGATTGGCTGCCTCCTGCACGCCCCCTACTGGGGATCGAACCCAAAACCCAGGCATGTGCCCTTGGCCGGAATTGAACCTGGGACCCTTCAGTCTGCAGGCCAAAGATCTATCCATTGAGCCAAACCAGCTAGGGCTGTATTACATTTTTAAAGAAGGATCTTTAAGGGCAGTTTAGCTTAAATTTATTTTCTTGAGATAGAATTCACCCCTTTATAGTATACAACCCAGTGTTTTTCGTATAGTCAGAAAGCTGTACAACCATTACTCCTGTCTAATTCTGGAACATTTTCATCACCACTAAAGAAACCTGATACCCATTCCCAGTCACTCTCCACCCCACGCAGCTTCTAGCTCCCGACAGTCACTAATGTCCTGTCTGTAGATTTACTTATTCTGTGCATGTCATATAAGTAGAATCATACAACATGTGTCTTTGTGTTTGAACCTTCATGTGTTCAAGGCTCCTCCATGTTGTAATATGAATCAGTACTTCATTCCTTTTTCATGGCTGAGCTTAAATGATCTTCTGCTTGGACTTTACCATCTCCCAGCACATTCACACGCAGGGTTTTCCGTGAGCGATTCACTGTAAAAATCCATTTATTTCCCAGTTAATCCAAGGTGTCCATTTCCTCAGGTGCTGCTCTCATTAAACGTTCGAGCTGAGTCACTGACACATTGGGAAACATGGACTGATGGTGTAACAGCAAACTGTAGAAAGGGCATTCAACAATTTCCCTCACATCCCATTGGCTCCAGTGAGCCTATTGGTCACACCTATCTCCAAAGGAGACCGGAAGGCATGGGTTCCGAGGGGAAAACGAATATGGGGTAACAGTCCAGGGTCCCCAGCACAGTGTATTAAGAAGGAGGTACCCTGCGGAAGGTATTTGCGTGGGGCCAAAGATACCACACTGCTCTCGGGTCTCTGACTCCCCCAGACACTGGCTCTTTTTGCATCCAGGTCCTCTGGACCATTCTCTGTGTCCAGGACAAACTCGGTGCTATGACTGGCCAGGCCTTGGCAATGCGCACACGCTCAAGGCCAAGAGGACAGCTTCTATGACTAAAAGAAAGGAAGCTTGCTGGACTAAATAAGACAAGAAATTAAGGATCTGTCCTCCAAGTACTGAAGGTGAGGCTCAGCTTTCTTCTTCACCAAAATCAAAGAAGCCTATGGAATGTCAATGGGCTTACATGCTGTGTTAGCAAATGTTCATGATTTGTTTATTTTGTACATGTAATAAGACTGTTGGCTGGTGTGGTCAGTTTTAAACAGCACAGACATTGAAACCAGAAGCATCTGGATTTAAAAGCAGTTCTACCACTTGTGAATAAAAATAATGTCATCATTACCGACATACATGTATCAAGCATGGTACATTATATACATTGTCCCCTACTTCTGTTTCTCACACAAACCCTGGAAAAGGATGTGTCACCAACTTGCAGATGTAGAAACGGTAGCACAAAGCCGTCGATTAACTTGCTGAAAGCTAGTCAGAACGGGAGCCATAAACAGTCAGCTTGGTTTTTAACCCTGGAGGCTTGATCAGTATGATAAATTGTTTTTCCATGTTTCCTTGCTTTGAAAGCACCTAGAGCAGCGGTTCTCAACCTGTGGGTCGCGACCCCTTTGGCGGTCGAACGACCCTTTCACGGGGGTCACCTAAGACCATCCTGCATATCAGATATTTACATGACGATTCATAACAGTAGCAACATGACAGTTATGACGTAGCAACGAAAATAATTTTATGGTTGAGTCACAACATGAGGAACTGTATTTAAAGGGCCAGGAGGTTGAGAACCACTGACCTAGAGAAATTTTAGTTTGCAATAGTATTATCTGTGGCTTTTGACAAGTTACTTATCTTTTCTGAGCCTCTCTTTCTTTATCTGTAAGCTTAGAAATTTGGGGTTGGAATATGTCTTGTGTTTGTTTCAATGTGAAGATCTGAGAATATAACATTCTTTCCACAGTTACTAAATTTCACTATGTTAACAGTAGATGGTGCTATTGAGTACTGGCTTTAAAACCCAATAAAAACAATTCTAATTACTGAATACATTTCTTCAAAGGAGACACCTACTCAGAGAATGGGAGGTCAGAGAGTGCCCAGAAAAGTTGCACGTTAAAGTGTGTTAAGCTGGAAAATGTTTTGTTATGCTACTTTAAAACACTAAAAAAAGAAAGGTTTAAGTATATAATCTGCATATTGGCCCATACTTTATTTTATTTACTGTACTGGATGTTTTAAGACAACTTATTAACATTAATATTCTGATTACAAAAGATGGCATCTATTTCTCAATTATATTAAGAATGAATCATAACCATACTTTTGCATTCTAAAGCCCATATTTTATTTTATACTTATAGGTATTTAACCTCCATATATAGCTTCCTCTAATTTAATCTGCAGCAAGTAAAAATATATATTTTCACTCATACTTCTAAGATGGGGGGAGAGTGCATGGAAATATTGAACATCTCAACCACAAACAGTTTATAACTATTTTTATTTCTCAAGATTTGATCTAAAAATAAATACAGGCCCGGCCAGCTTGGCTCAGTGGTTGAGTGTCAACCTATGAACCAGGTCAGGATTTGATTCCCAGTCTGGGCACATGCTCTTTTGTGGGCTCAATCCCCAGTGTGGGGTATGCAGGAGGCAGCCAATCAATGATTCTCTCTCATTGATGTTTCTATCTCTCTATCTCTCTCCCTTCTCTAAAATCAAAAAAATGTATTTTAAAAATAAATAAATACAGTTGCATGCCATATTGATTACTATCATAGCCCCTTGATTTCCTGTTTAGGAAAAGTTACAATATTACTTTGTATGTGAGAAAACAGTCCTAGAGAGGTAAAATAATTTTTCCAAAGGTTATAAGCCTACTTAGGCACACAACTAGTAAAAGCCTCCCAATTTCCTGACTTCCAGCCTCAAGCACTTTTCTCAGTTTATATATTAACTAAATTTTATATAATAACTAAATCAGTTTCTTCTGATTTAAGAAATTACTTAGAGCAACAAGTATTGTTTTAATGAGTACTTTCTTTTTTTTTTTAGAGGGGGAGAGGGAGAGAGAGAAAAAGAAACATTGATCGCTTGGGTCCCATATGCACCCTGACCAGGGATTGAACCCACAACCCAGATATGTGCCCTCTCCAGGAATCGAACGGGTGACCTGGTGCATAGGACGACCATCAACCAACTGAGCTACACCGGCCAGGACTAATGAGTACTTCTTTATAAATATTTTTAATTCTAATACATTAAAAATTATTTTAGCTACATAAAAATAACAGGAATAGTTATAACTGCTAATCAGTACCCAAAAGCTATTTATTTTTTTTAGCTAACTAGCTATGCAAGTTAAATATATATGCGTGTGTGTGTGTGTGCAATTTGAAAAAAAAATTAAAAAGATCTAAACACATGGAATGACATCTCATGTTCATGGATCAGAAGACTTAACATCATTAAATAGGTATTATACTAAATGAGTAAGTCAAAGAGGACAAGTGCCATATTATTTCACTTAAATGGGCAATAAAAAAACAAACAAATCAAACAAAACAAAAACAGACTCATAGATACAGAGAACAAACTGAAGGTTGCTGAAGGGCAGGGAGGTGGGAGAATTGGTAAAAAAAAAAAAAAAAAAATGAAGGAGAATAAGAGGTACAAACCACCAGTTATGAAAAATAAGTCATATGGATGTAATGCACAGCATTGGGAAAATAGTCAATATTATCATAATAAGTCTGTATGGTGACAGATGGTTACTAGAATTACTGTGGTGATCACATCATAAGGAATATAAATGTCGATCTACTATGTTGTACGCCTGAAACATATAATACTGTTTGTCAAATATCCTATATAATAAAATCCTAACATGCAAATCGATAGACTGGTCGCTATGACGCACACTGACCACCACGGGGCAGATGCTCAATGCAGGAGCTGCCCCCTGGTGGTCAGTGCACTCCCACAGGGGGAGCGCCACTCAGCCAGAAGCCTGGCTCATAGCTGGCGAGTGCAGCAGTGGTGGCGGGAGGCTCTTCTGCCCCTGAGGCAGGTGGGTGGTCAGGAGCAAGGGGTCCTGGACTGCGAGAGGGCGCAGGCCAGGCTGAGGCCCCTCCCTCCCGCAGTGCACAAATCTCAAGCACCGGGACCCTAGTACTTTAATAAACAAGAAAAATGAGTGAAGGATATAAAGAGGAAAATCAAAGTTTTACCTGGTGGCTGTATAATTTAATGTCCCGCTTCTGAAAAAAATTTGGTGGCATGTAGCAAAAGCTACAGAAATGTTCATAGTCCTCCACACATTGATTCCACTAGGGAGAATGCATTTCATTTCATTCAACAAATATTATTGACTACTTTTTATATGTTAGGCATTGCTCTACCAGGGGTGGGCAAACTTTTTGACTCGAGGGCCACAATGGGTTCTTAAACTGGACCGGAGGGTGGAACAAAAGCATGGATGGAGTGTTTGTGTGAACTAATGTAAATTCAAAGTAAACATCATTACATAAAAGGGGACGGTCTTTTTTTTTTCTTAGTTTTATTCATTTCAAACGGGCCGGATCCGGCCCGTGGGCCGTAGTTTGCCCACGGCTGCGTCTAACTCTAGGGTTTAGAACAGACCAACAAAGACATGTCAATATCAGATAGATCATGGCTATTAGAGGTTTGAACCCTGAGTGCCGCTCTCCATGGTTCTGAACCATACTTACACCCAACACGACAGTCTACCTCACTAATATCCCCTATCAGTGGTCGGCAACTGCGGCTCGCAAGCCACATATGGCTCTTTGGCCCCTTGAGTGTGGCTCTTCCACAAAATACCGACGTCTGCGCATGGGCCACGAAGTTTCAATCGCACTGTACATGCGCGCCCACACGTGGTATTCTGTGGAAGAGCCACACTCAAGGGACCAAAGACGCGCATGTGGCTCTCGAACCGCAATTTGCCGACGACTGCCCTAGGTAATCTTTCCCCAGTATTGTGAAGCAGAGCGGAGAAGAGAGAGTAGTAAGACAGAAATGTGGAATCCGGAGGAAGACAAATCATGGCAAAGGCATAGCCACTTAGATTCAGGCAGAAAAAAAGGAGATTTCTTTTGGGATTATTGTCAAATAGTTTCAGCTGCAAAGTTCCACCGTAAAGGAAACAATCAATAGAATGAAAAGGCAACATGTGGAATGGGAGAAAATATTTTCAAATTCTATATCTGATAAAGGGTTAATCTCCAAACTATATAAGAACTTCTACAACTCAATAGCAAAGAAACTAATAGGCTAAGCACTTGAATAGACATTTCTCAAAAAAAAAAAATACAAATGATCAATTGTCCTATGAAAAAAATGCTCACCATCACAAAATCATCAGGAAAAAGTAAATCAAATGAGAGAACATTTCACACCTGTCAGGATGGCTATTATCAGAAAAACAGAAGACAAATGTTGGCAGTGATGTTCATTGTTGATGGGGCTGCAAAAGGTGCAGCTACTATATGAAACAGTATGGTTTCTGCCTGGTGTGGCTCAGCTGGTTGGAGCATTGTCTCTTGCACTGAAGGGTCACAGGTTCGATTCCCGGTCAGGACACATGCCCGGGTTGCAGGCTCCATCTCTAGTAGCATGCAAGAGGCAGCTGGTTAGGGTTTTGCTCTGACATTTATCTCTTTCTCTCTCCTTCTCTCTTCCTCTCTCTAGAAATCAATTTTTTAGGTCTTTTAAGTAAATAAATAAAACAGTATGGAAGTTCCTCAAAAAACTTAAAAATAGAATTACCATATGATCCAACAATCCTACTTCTTTGTGCAATTCCAAAGAATTCAAATCAGTATCTTGAAGACATTTTAGCATTTCAATTTCATTACAGCACTATTCACTATAGCCAAGATGTGGAAACAGCCGAAATGTCCATCGACAGAGAATTGGATAAAGAAATTGTGGTATATACACATGTGGAATATGACTCAGTTTTTAAAAAAATAAAATTATGGACAGTTCCCTTGGTGGTCCCGGATCTGTCTCTGGCTTCAACAGTGTTTGGATGGAATAGACCCAGGGACTCAGCCTCCCTATGTCCCTCCAGCCACTCTCCTGTGTCTTATCCAGTCTCCACCTTCAGAACCACCTCTGAGACCAGCCAACACACTGGGTTTTTTTCCTACCTTCTTAACTCCTTATTGCTGAACAACCATGAGCTCCCAAACTCGTCAGAATTATTCCATCGAGGGGCAGGCTGTGGTCAGCCACCTCTCTCTGGGCTTCTGTTTTGACCGGGGCCGTGATGATATGGCTCTGGAGGGCGTGGCCCACTTCTTCCTC